CCCAAGCACCGCCGCCACTCCCCACACTGCCCAAAGCCCCCCCCCACCCCGCACAACCCCCTGCACAAACGCGTCAAACGCGTTCACTCGCGTCCAGTGAATGCACGTTCACCACGTTCATATCCTAAGCGTGAAACGCGCGTTCAACGAACGCGCAGTAACACAGCTTTGGTGGGCGTATCCCCGCCGAGCTACCAGTTCACAATACGAAAGCTAATTAGTTGCAATCGCAGAGGTGAACCAGCCGAGGGCGTTTCTCGTGCCCTGTAGCATAGGAGGTACGCGCGGTTTTACGCCTCTATCGGACCCGCACACGAACTAACGCCTTGGGGGGCTGAGGTCCCAAGCGTGACTCGTCGTCGGTCAACTAGGACGTATCCCACACACCACGCGTACATCACTCTAAAGACATAATATTTAAAAATTAGAATACGCACACATACGCATATATACAAAACAACACAAAACAAATAACGCGACAACACTCCTAGTCCCTTAGTAGCCATCCCATAATTCTGCGATGAGGAAATCGGATAGGCGTCGCGCGCGAGACTTAGTATAAAACCGCGTAGACGTAGAGCTAACCTCATATCGACTCGCAATGCAAGCATACGCAAGCAGTCACAATGATGGCATACTATGTAGTACCCATACTCATGCGGTCCTGGTTAACCTCGAGGGTCGTATTCGATACTCAAGTGTCGGCTGACACGCGCCTTGAGGGAATGATCTCTCGACGTTGGACAACCGCCAAGTGCGGTTGAGAACTACACCCTCTTCTGCACCCTGCGGAGAGTCGGTGGTACACAGGTTCATACTTGTGGTGACAATCGTCTCTTATTGCCCTGGAGACCAACTCCATCATCCACGGCCTGGAGAGAAATCAAGGGGTTTGACTTTGACGACTGCAACGGACTACAACGTCCAACAATAAAAATTATAAAAAGCAAGGGATAACATTGGATCCCCATTTTTCTCTTAAACATATAATTTATTTAACCCTTACGCGTAGTCACAGTGGCCACACGAACACTCAAAGCATATATGTTTACATATATATATAGGGTTATAAATAAGTGACAATCACTTCTCACAATCAGAGTGGGACTCCTCTCAACCATATATATGTATATGATCGCAGGTAGTCAATCCAAAGTCCGAACCACCAAACATACCTTCAATCACATCAAAGAGTTAACAAAAAATTCATGCACTATACGGAGTCAACTTCAACCAACCTCTATACTCATACCCCTTGCTTTAGCCATGCAAGCCCCAACCTTTGTCCAACCTTTCATAATTAAATACTCAGTACCTTTGTTAAATGGTCATCCAATAAAAGTCCGGGTGAAAACCTTAATAAAACAATAAAAATCACCAGGGCTAAAGTCTTTTAGGTTGAGTATTGAGGATGAATTAGAGTAGAATCGTAGACCGACGAATCGGCAACCGACTTGTTATCAACAATAATAGAAGGTGATCCTTGTAGGATCAAGCTGAATCTATTCTTGATTTCAAATCAAACGTTCAAGATGACCTGTTACACAAGACAGGTCAATCCCCAAGCTAAATCTATGAGTCCAAATCGAGAGTAACCTTTATATTATGATTTTCACAAAAAATCATTCTACTTAACAAATCATGAGTCACCCCTAGTTAGTGTCTAATAAAAAGATAGACCATTGGCGGAATCTCTCTATACAGAGTGGATTGCCAGAATGACCACCCGTCAAAATATAATCTAACTCCTAAATATAATCTAACTCCTCTAAACTAAAAACATTTCGGCAGCGCTTCCTGTAGGGAAAGTGTCTTCTCATAATTTATAATAACTCAAATATGAAACAAAAATCAAACTCTAATTCAGGAAAGTCAAATGTTGTCCAACTCCCTGAATTAGTAAAAATTTGGGCAACATTTCCTTTAGAAAGGTAGACTTCCCAGATTTATACTAAGTCAGATATGAACTCAGAAACAAGACTTGAGTTCAACTAAGACAAAAACAAAATTTAACTAACTCCTTAGATTTGTAAAAATTTTGGCAGCACTCTCATTGAAAGAGTATTAATCCAAGATTTATACAAAACTAAGTTCAGAATCTAAAGTGACTTTGACTTCCTTAGGTCTAATTTTGTCTAACTCCCTAAATTAGCAAAAATTTGGGCAACACTCCCTTTAGAAAAGGAGACTTCCCAAGTTTCTACTAAGCCATATATGAGATTTGAAGAAACTGAACTTGAAAAAGTCAAAGATTGAATAACCCCTTGGATTTGCAGAAAATTCGGTAGCGCTTCCCGTAGAGAAAGTAGCTTACCAAAATTTATACAAAGCCAAGTATAAAAAATGATCCCAGAAAATGCAGAAATCGACCTAAGTAAAAAAAAAGTTAGCTCAGAAAATACAGGAATTGGAACTAACTCATATGACTCTAGCACGTGGCGAGCATCTAAAGCCACTACCTATCAAACTGAAACTCAGACCAAGTAGTAATCTGACTTTGTTACATGCAAGGCTAAACCGCAAGGAGTAAGTACTCTCATCATCCCCAAGTCAAAATCCTCGTAGATAGTTCATGAATCCTTCAGATGATTCAACCCTTATACCTAACTTACATAAGGCGTAGTGCTAGACCATTCAACTTAGAAACAATGCCTAGCATGCCTTCAGGATGTACACGAACATGTTGAATAACTACTTTTCTCTTCTTTCGGCATATGACTAGACCATCAGTTTAGAAACAATGTTTAGTCGCCCTGAACTGTTTAATATCAAAAGT